TTATATATATATATATATATATAAAAAAGACATATATATGCACACACATACACTTGTGTGTGTGTGTATATCTATATGTAACAATCAGGGAGAAAGGAGTTTTGTTCAAATTTAAGTGATACAGTACTTTTAAACCCCTTGACAATAAAAGGGGAGGGTGTCCACTCCTGTTCCCAAGTTGAGCAAGGGGTTAGTTTATATAGGTTTTTAAAATGGGCAATTTTGTTTGCCCCGATGTCCAAGAAATACAATTCCAGTGTCAATAGGCATCTTATCAGAACTCATCAATTTTCTTCTGCAGATATTTTAACATTGAGTCCATCCCTTGTGCTGAGCCCCAGATTTTCTTCAAAACTTCACATTCCTTTTCATTTGCTTGTTCCAAGTCCACCTTCATGATGTTCCGTACTAAAGCTTTGGATTCTTCAAGTACCTAGGCAAAAAAAAAAAAAAAAAAAAAAGAGTGTTGTGTTAGTATTATATGTGTACTTACAGGTTATGTGGATAGATCCTGAAGCTGATTATGAACCTAAGCTTATCATACATAGCTTATAATACTACATCCCCAACAAATGTTTCACAGTTAATAAGTACACAAAAATGTGGAAATCGTGAAAATAGTAAAACTGTAACTATGAATATATATATGTGTGTGTGTGTGTGTGTATATATATGGTTTTATACTGATAACTAGAGAAAACTCCAACTCCATTTTAGTGAAGTCTAACCGTAACACTGTTATCCTGAACTGGTCCAATAACCAGGCAGACCTTGACAAACTTGAGTATTTAAAAGAGGCTGAAAAATCTCACTTGCTTTTCCATTTAGAAAACTATTAATCCATTTCAAAACCTGAAATTTCCAGTGCACAGAACAGTTACTTTGTACTGCATCTCTTCTCATAAGAAAAGATCAAATAGTGGTAGTTCTGGCTATTGTGCAGTGGCCAGTAGTGCAAACATGGGGGTTGGACTAGACGACCTTTGAAGGTCCCTTCCAATCCAAATTATTCTATGATTCTATGCATGCAGTAGGAGTTACTAGTAAAACTAAGTTCAACATAATGTCAAAGACTGCATTTACTTCCTTGGTAATCTGTATTATAACTCAAGACATCAAATTACAACACAATTCAAGATTTCTGTGCAGTTCTTAAGGCAACTGTTTACACTGTTGATTAGAATAAGTGGGACTTAGGCAACTATGTTAAACATAAGTATATTGTAAAGAGTCCAGTGCTGTTTACAAGTTCTTAACCAATGTGTACTGTGGCATATGATTAGAGTTGGATACGAACATAAAAAGCAGTCCTCAAAACTCAGGAAATAAAAAGATACATAAAAAAATTGTGTTAAAAGACAGTGCTATACTAAAATGCTGTACTCATTTCATGAAAATGGTCTTTTTTTTAGAAGGATGTAATGATGTAGTCTAGTAATACTTACATTAAATTAATACTTATTAATCTAATCATAAACATGTATTGCAAGAAAATAAAGGGAACTTACAACTGAGTTACATGTGACAAGTTCCTTGATTCGAACCATTACTTCTTGTGTGAATGTTCCCGGCCAAAACACTTGAGAGACGAGTCCTTTGGCACAAGCTTCCTGTGCAGTCAACTTCCTTCCACTGAACAACATTTCATTGGCCTGAAGGGATAAAAAGTTACTTCTGGTATGAAATGTAATGAGACAAAACTCATTAAAGGAAAAAAACATCCAAAACAAATAAGGAAAATGCCTGCACTATTTGAAATAGTTCTATTACAGCTCTTCCAACTTCTAATGAATAAAGCAAAAGACTTGCTTACAGATAGGCAGCCGGTGGTGTCCACTACACTGTGGCAGGAGTTACAAAAAAGCAGAGGGTTAAACGTGAAACTGGCTTTGGTCATTTCCCATTACTGAGCATTCATTAGCTATCTTGCAGTATTGCTCACTTGATTAACTGTGTCTAATAGGTTACAATGCCTGGCAGATCTGTAAAACAGCAATGAAGACACTGGCTTGCCCTCTGTAATAGTGTTAGTTGTGGCAGTGAAATCTTTGCTAAAAATCTATCTGTAAATGATGAAGATAACCCAGTTTTGGTAGCAGACCTCCTGCGACCTGCTAGTCTTGGTAGAAAAGAACAGGTAACTTTCTACAACTGAATTTTTTTTAGTACTGAATACTCAGAGTGGTTTATTTTCAGCACTGCTCAAAAGTCTGCAGCAGTATTTCATTTATAATGCAACATTTAAATTACCTGGATCATCTTAGAATTTGACCTCCAAACCCCACTGCAGTGAGCAGGATATAGTCCAATTTCTGATCAAATTCCATGGAAAATAAACATTCCCATTTTATTCAGGAGTTCAATGTGGAACTGATAAATCCTTTCAAAAGCTGATTTAGCAGTCTAATTAAAAAAACCCAATCCAGTATTGAAAAGCTCTGTCCATAGGAACCGAGTACTACACACTGTGCAATGAGGTGATCTCTAGTTTTCTAGATTTTTTATTTGTAATTTTCATAGATTCAATATTTATCAGCTTCCCCATTAAAGCTTCATCCTACAACCATTTACACCTACACTTTAATTCTACCTTTAATGAAGTTTCTTACATAGTTAAACATTTTGTTTGCAGTGACATCTGCATGGAAACAGCCAGTGAAGATAAAGGCAGAGTAACTGTCAACCTCAAAAACCCCAAATAAAAATCAGTATGTTTCTTTATGACTAATTTATATTGAAAATATGACAAAACCATCACTGGACTCTTGAAATCTGGGAAATGAGGCTGTTTGTTTGTTAGAAAAACATCAGAACCTGACAAGTGCAGCATTTCTGAGGACAAAATTTAGTTTTTTAACGTTTTCTAATACTGAAAATTCTGGCAATTATCACAGCAACTTTCAGTTAAGGATCTCAAATGATCTAATTGCTGTAGGAACTGGTCCTAGTTTTGCCATTTTACACATGAAGCAAGTTGGAAACTCAGAGGTCTGTTACTTGCCCCTTTGTAACAAAATACAATGAAGTTTGGGTTCTACTGGCAGTTGGGTTGCTGGCTCCCAGTCCATAAAATGTATTAGCAGCACATCTCTCAGAAGTTAATATGGAAAGTTGGGATTCACATACATCAGTTTAAAGAACCAAGCCTTGATCTAAGGATAAAAATTATAGGCCTGTATAGTTCTACCTTCTCTGAAAGCAAAATCAAATATACAAGGTATATTAACTATCACAACTCTCCTAACTTTCCACATTACATGTGAATAATCCAAAACAGTAGCAAAAAAACATCTGTGCTATGGACAAGCTTGTCTAAAACCAGGAATTATTTTCCTACGGAGCTATGGGGGGGGGGGGGAAA